TTGTACTCCACTTAAGCAACTGTCCAACTAATCTTTCGACACGTTATCAAGCTGTGAGGCATTTCCGCGAGTATTATCAGTGATCGCGATGTGAGATTTACAGGAACCTTTTTGGACTGGGCTATTTAAAGTTATTGGAGTCGAGATTAAACATCTCTTTGAGCTATCATCCTTAAAAAATAAAAAATAATAATAATAATAAATTCTACTTTAGATAGAAAAAAACCAAAAAGAAAAAGGTTTACCTTAGACAAGAAGCTAGCAAACAAGTCAAGCGGCACACGCAGAAGGCGACGGCGGCCGAGTCACAAGGCTGCCCAATTGACCTCACCCAACGCTGTCCCATGCCAAAAGGGCATCCACAATTCACAATTCGCATGTGCCTCGTCTCTCGGCCACCCTTTTTGCGCCTCCACTAACACAATTTCACATGTTTGGGTTTTCTGGTTGGCAGTTGAAAACATGGGTGGATTTGTTGATCCCATCCACCACTTTAATTCACGTACTTTTTTAAACACATTGAATGATATTCAAGTTGATGTATTTATACTGTATATATTGTGATATCTTGGATTCCACGTTTCATTTCTAACTTTAAAATTATTTTTTATTATGTATTTTAGGATTATTAAAAAGAAGTATACGACCCTAAAAATTTAGAACACAAATAATCTAAATGAATTAAATTGGTATGTATGGAAGAATGACATGATATTATCCATTTTGAGCTTAAACTTTCATGATTTTGCTTTTAACTTTTCAAAAAGTCGGTACTATTTAAGATAATATTCCTTACCCATAAACTCATAATCTTCTCTTAATTAGTTATTAATCATTATAATTCTCTTAAATTAGCTTCACTTTCTCAATCATTTTATCTTAAAAACTTAGTAAACAAAAAAAAGAGAGAAAAACATCATGTATCCAACAACCAAAAAGCTTTTTTTTTTTTTTTTTTTTTTTTTTTTTTAAAAANGAAAAATTAGGATACCAGGTCAATATTCAACGCTATTTCCTTACATCAAATCAAATAAAAAAATCATGATCGATTTCATTATCATACCTAATAAAAAAAAATATATACATGTATTTTTTATGTTCGAATTTGATGGTTAAATTATAATTAATTTTATTAGAAAATATATACTTAAATTAAAAGGTTAACAATAAAACGGGGGTAAAAATAGTAAAAAGTTTAATAAATAGAAACTAGATTTAAAATTGGAAACTACTAAATTAAAATTAAAATAAAACTCAACCCTAAATTATAAGAAAATCATAATTTAATTTTTTTTTCCTTTATTCGAAAAATATATATATTAATTTTGTCCATGAAGATAACTAATGAACATTTATTATAATATGTATTCTATTATTTAAATAAAAAAAAAAAAAAAAACGGAAGTGGAGTTTGTGGCCGGAATTTTAAACAAGGGTACAACTGTCAAAAGAAATAAAATCCGTTAAGGAATGCCAGCTATTGACGGACGGCTGCACGTTTTGTCTTCCCCGTTAATTTCCAGACCCTTAACTTTCTTTTTCCGTTATTATTATTATTATTTTTATTTTTTTTAGGAATTTCCATTATTTAATTTTATTTTTAAATTACAGTATTGGATTTACTTCTCCAAATGCGCTGGCCAAATACTGTCCCTAATCCATCCAACAAAATTTCACAAAAAAAAAAAAAAAAAAAAAAAAAAAAAAAAAAAAAAAAAANTTGCACACCCCATTTTTCTATTTTAGTTGAAAAAAAAGCGTCCGACGTGGCAGTTCCATTTTCTTCTTTCTTCATCTTCTTACACAGCTGGGATTTTCCGGTATCTTTTTGGCGGGTTTTCGATTCTTCTTCTTCTTCTTCTTCTTTCTCCTCCATTATATCTCTCTCGCTTTCGTTGTTCTTTTTTAAACCCTATTTTTTGGAGTTCATTTTTGTCGGTGAGCTTCTCTGTTTCTCTTGCACGGTCGTTTCTTTGTTGTATGGTTCATGTTCATCTTCCATTTGGCTCATTATTACTCGCTCCTCCTTTTGATTTTTCGTGAAATTTCTTCAATGGCGGATGTGGGATTATTCCATTTTCTTCATCCCTTCTTTTAATTGTTTTTGGAATCTTGGTTGTGGGTTTCTTGGGATTTTCATTCTCCATTGCTTGATTCTTCGGTGTTCTTCCTCGTTTCAGCCCTCTAAATTTCTGTTTTCTTTCGGATTTCTTCGGTTTCAAAATGTTCGGCATGTTCTTGAAGCCGAAGTACTATACAAAATGGTATTGATTCTGATTCTGATTCTGATTCCGATTCCGATTCTGATTTTTATGGGTTTCTTTTGATTGATTCTTTCTTTTATTGTAATGTAGCAAATCTTGCTTAAAGCTGTTGAAGTCGCGGCTGGATGCAATTAGGAAGAAGAAGAATGCGGTTCTTAAGTATTTGAAGAGCGACATTGTTGAACTTCTCAAGAGCCGTCTCGATTACAATGCTTACAACAGGGTTAGTTCTTCTTCGTGTCTCGGATTAGATTTTTAATCTCTCCGAAGCCCATAATTTTAATATCTGGTTCATCTTCCCTGATTTTGGTCGTGCTTGTTGTGCTAATGGTGAAATAGGCTGAAGGGTTTCTTGTTGAGCGAAATGTCTTGAAATGTTATGAGCTAATTGATGAATTTTGTGGGGCTATCTCCAATCAACTATCTGTCTTGATCAAACAGAGGTAGATATCATAATTTTTAGAACACGTCTGTGTTCTTAGGCTTCAGTTTGTTCAAATCAGTTTAAATGTGGTTTCCATGTTTTTGTTTCTCTTCTAGCGAATGCCCTGATGAATTCAAAGAAGCTGTTGCATCATTGATCTACGCTGCAGCGAGATTCGCCGACTTGCCTGAATTACGAGAGCTTCGAAACTTCTTTACTGGGAAATATGGATGTTCCTTCGAACCATTTACCAGCATAGAGGTTGTTCTTGGTAGCTTAAAAACCCGGTTGTGTCGTTAGAGGGTCGTCCTAAAACTTGGTTTAATTCTTGTTTTTCCTTTTAGCTTATCGAGAAGTCGAGGGCGACGATTCAAACGAAAGAGATAAAGCTTCAACTACTTCAGGAGATTGCTCAGGAATCCGCCATTGATTGGAACTCCAAAGCTCTTGAACAGCAACTGTATATTCCTCCCCCAAATGAAGTGAGTTTGTGTGCAATTCTGTTTTTGTGCGTTGATGAACTCTCTTCATTCTATTGATGGTTTTATGGTCATTCTTTTTGCAGCCTGATGTTGTTCCCATGCACGAAAGGAAGAAGGACTCGGTCGGAAAAAGGGACAGCAGCGATGACGAATCCATGTTCGATATTAGAAGTGAAGGCAACACGACCGAGACCTCGACCGTAGATAGTAGTACCGATCAAGATGTCCGAAAAGGTGGTTCCGAGGATGAAGTAGAGGATCAGACACCGTTCTACCTTAGAGTTATCCGACCTCCTTACCTTAAAACGAAACCAACCAACAAGGAAACAATGGAAGAAGCTCGAAAAGCTACCGACCAAGTCGAAAACGATGAATGTAAGAAGCAGCAACCCGAGCCAACCTCGGAAGAGAAACCGAAACCGAAACCGAAATCAGTCAGGCGAAGAAATGTGAAACTACAGCCTACAATGGAGATCAAGATTGACGATGTTGGGAATTCGGGAAACGATATGAGTTCGAGTCGAAACAAAGGTAAAGAAGCCATGAAAGGAGAAGGGGATGATGAGGAGGAGGAGGAGGAAAAGATGTTAGATGGGCTGTTGATGCATTACAGTAAGAAAAAACCAAGCCATGAATCAAACGAAGTCAGGGCAGTGTCACTGTCCATAGACTCAACTGAGCCAACTGAGCTAGAGAACAAGCGTCATACTAGAACTAATTCCTTCGTTCATCCTAATCTCCCGGACTACGACGAACTCGCAGCTCGGTTCGCAGCCCTGAAGGAAGATAAATAAAAAGTTTCGGTATCAGACGCTCGAGAAAATTATCGATCGAACGTGGTTGACATGACATTAACAAGGAGACTCCATCTAAAGGAAGATTCTTTGCTTCGAAACTAAACCAATAGGACAATTGCAATTCTCTAATCATTTCTTACAACCCACCTGTACTTTATAACTTTAAGAAAATGCAGTAAAAATAAATAAATAAAGTGGTATATAATTTATACATCTATTCTTTACTCACATTATTAACTACAAAATGCAGAGAATTGTGAAGGGAAGAATTGTTGAGGATAATTGGAAGTAAGTCTATCTTTCTTAATTCAGTGGAATATCATGAATTTATAAATGAGAAATATTATCTGATATGAGACCTTTTGATGAGCCCAAAATAAAGACACTACAACTTACTACTCAAAGAGAACAATATCATATCATTGTGGAGAGTCGTGGTTCCTAACAAGAATGACATACAAATTTTCTAGCTACTCAAAATGACCAAAATACTCCTCCGAAAATTAACTATATATATATATATATATATATATATATATATATAATGGAAGTGGAATTTTAATTATTATAAATTTCAGATTTTGTTTATTAACTATATTTTTTCATATTTATTTTTGCACCTATTTTATTCTATTTATTTTAAAATTTTATCTATGATTTTTTCATGTTTGCTTTATATTCATCCTTAATATTCAAATTTAACATATTTAAAATATATATAAAAAAATTGAATATTTTAAAAGTTTATTTGATACAAAATTAAAATATTAGAAATTTATTTGACATTTTTTACTTAAAAAGACATATAATATACAATTAAATAAGATTATATATACTTACAATTAATTGATTTTTTTTTTAATTTAACGTATGTTTTACACATTAAGCTTAGTATATTTTATAACAAAAATATTCCACTAAATTAAACTATTAAAATTTTTTAATTTTTTTTTAAAAAAATAAAAATACGAAGTTTATGAAATTAAACTTACAAATGGAATATATATATAATAATAAATAAATAAAACCCGATTATTCCTCTTTTTATTTAAAAAGAAAGTTACAAAGGAGGCTAAAACGACGACGTATAGAATCATCCCATCCATTTGATTTGTTCTGTGAGTGCGGCATTAAATTTCTTTTTGCTTTTTTCCCTCCAAAAGAACAATCGCAGCGAAGAAATGAAAGAAACCGTCCCGCTTTTTCCGCCCATGGAAGAACATAACTAGCGTAAAGTAGATCTTGATTCGCTCATTCGTCTTAAAGCTCCGGCCATCTTCATGTTTAATTTTCAGAGAAGTTCTTTCCAAATCGTTTTCCTATGGGTTGTTCACAATCCAAGATCGAAAATGAGGAAGTGGTTTCCCGGTGCAAGGATCGGAAGATGTTCATGAAAGACGCCGTCACCGCCCGGAATTCCTTCGCGGCGGCGCATTCTTCCTACGCCATGTCGTTGAAGAACATTGGCGCCGTTTTGAGCGATTACGCTCATGGAGAGAGCCCGCCGGCTCCGTCGTCTCTCCCTGGTGCCGCCGTTGCTCAATCGGCTGCAGCGGCGGCGTCGTATAATAGTTTGCCTCCGCCGCCGCCTCCGCTTCCTGGTTCCCCAGGTATGCCGCTTCAACCAGCTACGAGTATGTTTGAAATGAAGGCCTCGAAGGTTGAGTCGAAGCGTGTGGAGACGGTTATTGAGGAGGTGGATGAGAAAGATTTTGAGATTGAATGCGCCGTTGGTCCATTGCGTAGGAGGAGAAGCAATATAGACGGTGGTGGGCGTGGTGGTAGAACTGGCCATGGGGAGCTTGTGGAAGAAGAAAACAGTCCGCCTTCGCGATTGCCGCCTTCACCGAATCGGCTTCCGCCTCCGACCGAAAACCGCCACATTTACGCCCCGTCGCCTAAGGATTCGACCTACGATTATCTGTTTTCGGTTGAAAATATGCCGGCTCCGACGTTGAGCGGCATTGAGGATTTTGATAACAATATGGAGGCGGTGGAGCGGAGAGCGGTTACAGGGGAGAAATCTGGTGAAGAGCCGCTGTCTTCTTCGGCGGAGAAAACGTCGAAGAAGACGAGGCAAGTAGGTTTTCCAGGTCCAAGCGAGGGGAAAAGGATTGTTAAAGGGAATATCAATCTTCTACAGATCTTCATGGAGCTTGATGATCATTTTCTTAAAGCCTCTGAAAGTGCTCATGAGGTTTCGAAGATGCTCGAGGCCACTCGGCTTCATTTCCACTCAAACTTTGCCGATAATCGAGGTATTCGTCTCGATTTGTTTATCAAGGTCATAATTAATTGTTCAATCATTTGAGGGAACAGATGAATTTTAATTTATGGATTGGGAAACTTTTCCAACTGGCTGTTGGCTTTTGTTCCCATCAGGACATATAGATCATTCTGCTAGAGTGATGCGTGTTATCACATGGAACAGATCATTTAGAGGCTTACCAAATAACGATGAATTGAATGATGATTTTGAAAAAGAGGAGCATGAAACTCATGCCACTGTATTGGATAAACTGCTTGCCTGGGAGAAGAAACTATTCGAGGAAGTGAAGGTTAAAACTCTGAATCCTTTTGTCTCATTCTGTTTCTTGTATTCGCTGAAAAAATTACTCGTTCCCACTGTTTTTGGGATAGGCAGGTGAAGTTATGAAGTTGGACTACCAAAAGAAGGTTGCTGCTCTGAACAAGCTGAAGGAAAAGGGCACCAATTTTGAAGCAATCGAGAAAGCCAAGGCCACTGTCAGCCATTTGCACACCAGATACATTGTGGACATGCAATCCATGGATTCCACCGTCTCTGAGATCAACCGCATTCGAGATGAACAATTGTATCCCAAACTTGTTCAGCTTGTCAATGGGTAAGACTTGTTCAGTTTGATAACGATTTTATTCTTCAAAATGGAACATTATGAGTTTGTTGTGTGTTGATAATGATGAGATTAAGTAAATTCTGGGCTGAATTGTAGAATGGTCAATATGTGGGAAACCATGCATTTTCACCATGGAAACCAATTGAAGGTTGTGGCTGCTGTGAAAATGCTGGATATCTCTCAGTCGCCAAAGGAAACAAGCGACCACCACCATGAGCGCACGGTGCAGCTTCGGGCTGTGGTGCAGGACTGGCATTCTCAATTGGAGAAGCTTGTAAGCCGTCAAAGAGATTACATTAAGGCTCTATCAAATTGGTTGAAATTGAATCTGATCCCTACTGAAAGCAGCTTGAAGGAAAAGGTTTCTTCTCCTCCAAGGGTCCGCAGCCCACCAATTCATGGGCTCCTCCATGTTTGGCAGGAGCAGCTGGAGAAGCTTCCTGACGAGATCCTAAGAAACGCCATATTCACTTTTGCAACGGTGATCAACACAATTATGCAAAGCCAGGACGAAGAGATGAAGATGAAGGTAAAATGTGAGGAGACAGAGAAGGAGCTTTCCCGGAAGACCAAGCAATTCAAGGACTGGCAGAAGAAGTATGTGCAGCGGAAGGTGCCGAGTCCCGGTGAGGAAAACCCAGAAGAAATTGGTGATAATGATGCAATTGCAGAGCAACAAGCGGCGGTGGAGGCTGTAGAGAAGAGACTGGAGGAGCAACGGGAAGAGTACCAAAAGCTAAGCGTCCATGTGAGGGAAAAGTCCTTGGGGAACCTAAAAAACCAGCTGCCAGAGCTTTTCAGAGCATTGTTTGAGTTCTCTCATGCATGTTCACGAATGTATAGGCACTTGAAATCAATATCGCAGCCATTGCCCAACGGCACAAGGAGTTCAAACATGAACATGAACACAGGGGAAGCAAGATAAAGGTGTTTCTCTTGATTCTTCTTGCTTGTTTATTTTCAAAAACATCACAACTTATTTCAGCTATATATATATATATACAACACATACATATGCATATAAATTTAGACACAAATTTCATAGGTCATTAAACCATGTGGGGTTTTGATGAAAATCCCGATCGGCTAACCCACTTATACTCTCCATGATGAAATCTACATCTGAAAGAACCTGGATGGGTGGTAGGCGAGCAAATACAGTTGTTTCCATTTCCACCGCCAGTTCTCTGCTTGGGGACGGCCGTCTGTGCCGCCGCTACAAGCGGCCTTCCGTGCAAGACGGTGGCTGTGTAAAGAGGAATGGCCTGATAACACATTTTCTGTAAGTCGGTATGTTTTGTAGAAGGCTGGAAGACTTGGTAAAGGGGGGAAAAAAGTTGATTTGGAGTAATCATGAAGGGTAAGACTTATCTTAAAAAGGAGGGAAAGAGAGAGAGAAAGAGAAAGAGAATGGTCGTTTGTTAGTGCCAACACCTGTCGTTTGGGCACATGAAAATCTCACAACTTTCATCAACTTGGAGGTTGTTTCTTTGTGCACGAATTTACCAAAGTTTAAACGTCAATATATATGTATATATAATTTTGCAAAATTATATTATGATGTGAATCTAAATGCCCATATATGGTAAAAAAGAATAATGTAAAAAATTAAAATTTTTAAAATTGTATTAGAGGGGAGATTTAAACCATTCTCTATTAAGAGGGTTTAGAATGATTTGACCTGAGTTTAGCGTCTTAGAGCATTCGATCATGGTACACCCAAAATTATTTTAAATTTTAATTAAAAATTTTCAAAACTATTTACACATTTATTAAAAATTGTATCAAAAGTGGGATTTCAACCCACACTCTCCCCACAATACCCAAAACTTGCCTTACACTACAGCTTTTGATTTTAAATCAAAACAATTTATTTGAGTTTTTTCAAAATTATTTACATTCTAGTGTCCATGATCGGTCAATCTAAGCCTTATTTATTTTTATGGTGGGCTCCTATTAACGTGTGATTTATTACAATTAGTCATTCATTGGATTTTTTTAGTCTTTTCAATGGTACTTGAATCTTCAATCGCAGTCGTATTTGTCTCTCGAATTTCGTCATTTTCAGATTCAAGTGTCTGCTCATCCATTTGAATTCTAAAGGCAAATATTTCCATTGAGTGATTGTAACGGCTATGATTTTACAGCAAATAGTTCTTCACCAACCCTTATGCCTTATGCGAAATTTGTTAGTCAGAGCTTGCTAAAACTTTAAGAGAGAGAATAGGGAGTAAGGAGGGCCTTAGCTTCGTTAGAAATTTGCCCATGGACTTTCTTTCTTCTCCTACAAGCTTTGACAAAGTCACCGACGGTAGTTTGGTATCGCATTTGATTCAGGAGCTTCTCGACTTTACAAAGGGAACGTCATTTTCGACAATTTTTTAAAGAATATTTTTCTTTATTCAGGGCTTAGGGGACATTACACCAAAAGCTTGAAGTGAACGAGAGAAGCTATCGAGAAATTACCAAATGCTAACAGTGACGAAGATAACTGTCTTTCAGTGGACATGGAGCCAATGAATTCAGTCGAATAACGTAACGAGTCTAAGGTTATAAAAGTGTTCGCCAACTTTGATAGGTATAACATTGTTGCAAGCAAATAGAATAGATGAGAGCTTACTGTTTGTTTCTGTTAGAGTCGCAAGCTTATTATAGTCGGTCTAGCAAGAGAGGATCTTGTTACTTCTTGTTATATCCCTGTGTTCTTGCACGACCCTTCTCTCTTCGGTCTTGCCTTGTTTCTCACTTCCCTCTCTCCTTATTCTATCGTCCAAAATAAGGTTGTATGAAATGGAGCCAAGTGGTAAGACATCGGTTTTCGATACTGGTATGCAACAGTTTGAAACCTTTTACTTCCGATTATGAACACTTGATCGAATATGTCAAGCATGTAGCAAACCAAAATTGTGACTTGAACCTACTTTGTTAAGAGAAGATCTTGAATGAAAAAAAGAGACGGTAGAAAGTAATCTCTTCCAACCAGCCAACCCACAGAGTTAAACACAACCCTTTTTAATCAAGCTTTGGCCTAGTTCTTTATCAATCTCCTAGCCCTGATCAAACTTAGGACACGTGAGAGCCTAGCCCATGAAGACAACATGGGAAGGATAGAGAAATAAAACAATATAGCTTGTTCGAAAAACATATTTTGTAACGGCCCAAATCCACCGTTAGCAGATACTGTCTTCTCCGAACTTTTCTAAGCTTCCCCTCAAGGCTTTAAAATGCGTGGGAAGGTTTCCATACCCCTATAAATGGTGCTTATAGAGGGTGGTTTGTTCTCTCCCCACCCACGTGGGACATCACACATCATCTTGTATAGCATTATAGACATCTCTTGTATAGCATAATAGACATCTCAACGTCAATCAAATTAGTTAGTTGAAAGTAGTTGCCATTGAACCCACTTTCTCTCACGAAAACCAGAATTTATGTGTAGACCACTCGAACATTTAGACTAATTTTTTTTCCATTTAAAAATTATTATTAAATAATATCACAATTAAAATTTAAACTCAAAATAATTTATTGGAAAATATTCAAACATATAAAATATTGCCACACTCTCTCGTAACAAAACTTCACAATCGTTAAAATCATCCTAACCAATTTTTTATTTAAAATTATTCCTAAAATTTAAAATTTTGAATTTTTAAATTAGAATTATTTATAAAACACGTTTCTAAAATATTATTTACAATATTATTATTTGAAGTTATTACAATTTATTTACTAATATATGGGCCTTGAATGTGGTGCGTTGGACCCATGGGCCACCTTGATTAATTTTTTATAAAATTAATAAGTTATTATTATAAACATTTGCATTTATACTTAAATTTTTTTAATTATTATTTATTATAATTATTATTTTACAAAAAAAAAAAAAAAAAAAAAAAAAAAAAAAAAAAAAAAAAAAAAAAAAAAAAAAAAAAAAA